ATACCACATTTGAATATTTGAAAAAAGCCTAAATATTAGCAGTAACTGCAGCAGAAAAGATTTATGGGGGCGAGTCAGCTAAGTCAAGGTGAGAAGTGGGAACTTTTCCGCCGCAGTACGCCAGGCAACAATGATCACAAGGATGAGCAGTCGGCTGAACTGTTGGCTTGGTATCAAACCCGGACTTATGTTTCACTGGTCTGTTAGCCCGAAGCCCTCTCTACTGGGGAAGTTTCGATTCTGCCCTTGACTCAGCAACTTTGTGACTTCCAGTGTCAAACTAACCTGAGCACAGAAAAGCGAGAGCGAAACTCTTCAAAAGAACGAGGCAAACAGGTGAGCTGAGGGGATATAGGGTATGTGAGAGAAACGCGTAGCAACGAAGGGGCGGCGACAGCCCAGTTGAAAAGACTTGCGCATTCGCTGCGTGGTGGCTACCGTATCCCCTCAGCATCTACGGACAACTCGAAATCAATTCCTTTAATCGCCCGACTTTCCGTTTTTCTCGGCTCTCTCACGTCTGTGTGGTTTTCTTTGGCCACAGTGACCTTACAAATTAAAACAATTACGCCTGATAAGAGGTTCTACTCTGGAGTCCTTTCGCCAAAAAAGCTTACGCCCTGGCTTGCTGTATACTTTCTCCGCCTTTTGGTACCTTGGCACCCGCATTCGTTTGTTTCTCTGTGCTCTGACCTTTCGCGTCAGGACCGCCACGAAGAGTTGTTGTTGCTATGTAACCGCTCCATTCGCCACGTTTGATTTGAGTGAGCTTCATGACATGGTTCCCTTACCCTCCCCACTTCTCCTGGGAAAAACCCCTCAAAAGGCTGTTATACGGGATATTTCAGCTTTATAGCTTTGGAGAAGCACAATGAGCAGGAATAAGTTTTTTTTCGAGGTGAGCGAACACCTTCTTGACGCACTCACCTCGTGCAGATGAGAAAGATCACTTTGCAAATTGACAGTTGTGCTTGCCATACACCTGCCGTGGTAGAGTGATCACAAAAAATGGCACTGTCGATTAGAAGTCAATTTATACGAAATGCTTTTTTCTGATTTCATATCAGAAAATTTTTATGCTTAATGGTCTGCCTCAATTTGATAATTTTTATTCAAGAATCGCTCATAGAGCCAACACCACGGTCTTCGTAGCTGTAGCAGGAGACAGTGGCTGCAAAAGATAGGAAGGTACGAAAGAACGTACTGAGCCAGGGGAGGCGATAATCCGGTCTGGGGCAGGAAGCAGAATATAGCAGGAAAACAACGCTGAAGGAAGAGTTCGGGCTTTATAGACCAGATTCAAGAAGAAACTAATGCAACACAGTTTTGGTCGCTGCGGATCCTGGGACGTGTCAAGTGAGCTGGGTTTGGCGCTCCGCCAACCTGTTTTCTGGAGATCGTCGTAGCTTGCTCGCTTCAGCATACGGTGCAGAATTTATGAATTAGTAGACTGCTGCAGCGAGCAGGCTACATAGCACTCTGAAAGCAAGACAGCGCTTCTACAACCCCACTTCCCCTGACTCTCGGCACCCGCAGCGAAAAAGACTAGATGTAGAAGATGTTCGAACATTTGGCAGATCGTGACTGGAAGAGTTCCGTGAGTAGACTCTGTTGAAAAATGAGAATATTTTCTGTATTGTTATCTTCATCATTTTCTGTATTTGATGCTTCACAGGTCGCCTACCAGCTTCCACAGATGATGAGAAACGGCAGGACGCAGTCCCTCCCCCTTCTGGAGAAGCCAGCCAGGGCTCATCATCAGTTGGGATTTGTCCCTCCATCATCCACTCGTCGAGCGCACGGGGAAGGGCAGGGGTGGGTTTGCAGCACATGTGAAGTGGGAGGAAAATACGACGCCCCTAAACCATCCTACCTACACTGTCTCAGATTTCCCCAGATTCCCAATGATTTT